ATTGTAATACATCATGAATATATTATGGCAGCGTGAAGTACAAAATAATTAAAGTTCTTTTTTGTTATAATCTTCAGCTATCGTTACAGTACCATAAGTTAAAAATATACTAAAAACATATTATACATTCACTTCTATGATATGAGTGCACTAATGCAAATTTCAGAGTGCCCAGCTGCCACAAACACTAAATGTTGATGAATGTTAAATTATAATGCTATCACATGTAATAAAATTTAAATTTACTTATATTCTCCTACATATGAAGTACTGGCTGGATAGCGATTGCGTGATATGTGTTTACTGTAAGTCCACGTCCGTTCCACGGCTATACAGAAGTGGCAGAATTCCTTCAAGGCAGTTACGAGTAATAGCACCAGCAGAAGCACATGAACAAGTGAGCAGGCAGTAAGCTGGAGAAGTACAGAAAGCAAGCAGCAAGCTTGAGGAGTATAAGTCAGCCTGTGAAGATTTAACGTGTGATTTGAAGACTTTATTTGTGCAGTAGTACAGTGATATTAGGAGTGTGTGATTTAGTGAGACTTGTATAGTTCCTGTGATATAAATCCATAAAGACTAGTGCAGATAGACTGAAGAGATTAGTGTGGAGTGATTGTAAATTGTGTAAAACAGCTATGGTGTAATAATTAATTTAGGTATGACCTGTAGGTTAATAAATCCAATTACCAATCTGAGCCCCTTCTTTAGTTATCCATACATACGACAACATCAATCACAAGAGTTTTGTTTTTGTAGTCAATAACTTATTGTATTTTCAGTTTGTTTATAAGCATTCTCATTAATCTTGCTGTTTAAAAAACAGCACTCAAAAGCACTGGGAAGAGTTGAACTTAATGTATTTCTTATCATTTACGGTTTATTCAAGAACTCTTTAAGACTGTAAAGCATCAGATGGTAAGATGATTGGTGAATAACTGTAAAGAATATCAAAATCAGTCACTGAAAAATCATCTAAAGACCTAAGTATAGATGGAAATATTAAAATATACATCAGGGAAGTAGGTGTGAAATACTTAGAACTCACCAAGGGTCCAGTAGCAGGTTTTAGATACTAAATTTGTATTGTAATTTCTTTATATATGACAATGATCCCCCAGCATTTACTGTTACGCTTCTAACTTTATATTTAAAATATTTGCAATAAAATGGGACTCAAAATTCAATTGAAAAACCCAGTGGGCATTACAATCTTCCTTACTGATTTCAAAGAAAAAAAATTAGATACCTCAGGAACGTCTTAAGTGAATAGTTCTACCTTCCAGGATATAATGCAGTGTGGGTGACTGAAAGTCAACTAACATTTTGGAGGAACATGTCACCTCTATCTTCTGGACCGAATAATAAGCTAAGCAAGAAAACTTAATGACCCCAAAGACAGTGGCAACGTCTTCCGCCAAAACGTTGGTTCACTAACAGACTATACAGCAACATATCCCAGAAGACAGAACTCTTCATAACCACCGCTGTGAAAACCTCAAATCCTATACAGCCCAAATACTTGTACAATGAGAAGAAAGGCTAGCAGGATATTACAATTACATATGTGAGCCAAACAGAACAAAATTTTATAAAATCTGACACACACAAAACAATTGTAGCAATGTCAGAAGTCCAAAATAGAAAAGGATGCAGGGGGGCACATAGGTGATTTAATAATTACAGGATCAAAAAGAACCAATTTTAAATATAAATGCCATAGGCCAGACACAATCGGGTCTTTACGGAAAAGATCCAATCAAGATAAACCACCAATGAGAGGAAATTTTGAAAGCTTATTTAAATCCAGATATGTGATGAATTCAAATATATGGTAACTTCTACAAAATCTGATATAATAAGGGAATATCAAGTAAATAAAGCACCCAAATAAGGTGAAATGAAGGTATGTTAGTTTCTGAGGTGTAAATATTAATTTACTGTGTAATTCAACTTCTTCCATGTATAAAAAAAGCACAACATAACTTAATAACATGGCACATACTGTATTACAACCCTGTAATAACCCTTATTAAAATATTTTATTTTAAACAAGTCTCAGAGAAAATATTGGTCAATTCTCCTATAAATGGCTAGGCAATGACAAAGAAAACTCTTAGACAGACAGAATGTATTATTATTTAAAAACTTACTATGACCTGTAGAATTTAATACGTCAATAATCACTGTCTAAAGAAAATGAATCCATGTTTCCTTCTATATTTTCTATACAAAGATCCCTACTGTTTGTGTTGTTACATCCATATTACTACAACACCTAAGATACACAACAAAAGCATAAGACTGCACAGATGAGATATTCAACATTAAAAACACACTGTCTTGGGCTAAGGCACCTAAAAAGCACACTCCATTAAAAAACAAGTTTGTTTTTACAACTGCAACGTTTTTCTACAGTGTGTACAATTAAACAATTTGTGCACTTTTGAGCAGATTAAAAAAAAAGTTATTTCTGACACGCTATCAGATTTCTTTTTGAAACTTTCACCCTCTCAATAAGAACACATACTCACAATGCTAGTCATTATCATGTATCAGGAGCATGCAATAAATTTCATGATTTATATGCCTTACACATGATGCAAGAACTGACACTCTTCTATACAATCAGCCTTAAAATCCGAATTTTTCTGCTAATGTACAGGTTTCATAAGTCAAACTGTAGATTAGTCCTCTGAAGACAATGCAGGTAGATAGATATATTGTGTTTTCTGGCCTCCTATCAAATCCTTCATAAGCCCAAAAAAAGATGGAAATTACTGCAAGTTAAGATTTTACTATAAGGGGGAATGCTGGCTTTGTCTTACTCAGGAACCACCCTTTTCAGCAGAGCACTTGGGCACTTGTCACATTTTTGACAGACAGGTAAAATACTCAGCAATCAATGCTGTACTCCTCTTCCTTCTATTCCTGTGGCTCCAACACGGAGCAAAGGGTATCCATGAAATGCTACTGCTGTATTAGTTTGCAGGAAAATAAGTGTCCTAAAAGACAGTTGCCACACTTTTATATGCAAAAGGTTTACTCTTGAATTTTCTGGCATATGTGATATTGTGTGCTTCATTTGCCACTTACTCTCTCTTCCTTTCTGGGATGTACTGGTGTGCGCTCGGGTAGTTACTTCACCCTACCTGACAGTGTCGTAGATACGCTTCAAACACAATGCCAGCAGTTCTTCTGAACAATGTCCAGCTGTTCTGGGATTCACCCAGCAGGCACCTTTTTGAATCTGATGTATGACTGTTTCTGTAAGCCCATTAGATAGTTTAATGTGGTAAGAATAAAGATTTTGATATTATGAATGTTTGGATTAATGAAAAAACAATGTGTGATACACCATGAATAGCGACCAATCACATCTGGACACTGCCAGTAGTCACAGATGAATTTCATTCCACATGAAATGGTACAAAACAAAATCCAGTTATGGGATTCATTGTATGCTCCTTGCAACATTCAAAAATCAATTTTTCCTTACTTGTAAGGTGGATTACATTAAACCATTTAATTTATTTTAATGCCTAAAATAGATGAATAGCTGTTTAGTTAAATTTATACAGAAAAATACAATTATAATGCAGAAACTTTTTGTTTAATTTAATATAGGGAGGAAGCATATGAACAAATTTTTTACAAAGATTTTTACTCACACCCAAGCTGAGTTAAGGAAATGCCAACATACTGTTATTTAAAAATTAATCAAATATAGACTTCCAATAAAAATGTCAACAAATACAATATACAGTATACATTTTTACTGTTTTATAGTACAGTAAATTAAAAAAATAATTAATATGCAATAGTATTAAAATGCACCCAAAATTATAGGAAGTTAAAAATAATGTACAGTAATAAGGTAGTGGTATAAAAGTAAAGTAAATCTTCCATCATATACAACATATGAATAAAAAATAATACATGTCTGAACTTCATGTGTGTCAGGCTGACATCAGCAAATCAATCGTCAATGATAAAATAATAAGCATTCAGCAAGAGTCTAAGCACAGTCTGTCACATACATTAAGATAGGACAGGCTGCATCAATGCACTTACTCTATTTGTACCAAGAGAAAAGAAAGAGTGGGAAAAAATTATTTGTAACTTTCTGCACATGATAAGTACAACTGGTGTGCATGTATTCTTATTTACAACAAAAGTACCTGCCTGGACTGTCTTAACCTGAACTGTAATTCTTCCTAATAATTAAATAAAAGGCTTTCTTCATTAACATAAAATCTATGGTAACTAACTCTTAGTGACGGTCCCCCAGTCAGTCTGGGCATAAAGTCATTTTACACTATACAATGGGACTGATCAGAACAGCGTAGACTTCATACAGGAGCCAGATTTATAGCTTTTTACTGTATGTGACTGGTCATCAGAATGTTAGGCTAGAACTTGCATTGTCTTCATGTGATATCTAGATCAAGGCCATTCCAATACAGGGATAAAACCAAACAATATATGTGTACTTAGCCAACACATAAGAACAGCATTATATCCAGTACACTGTTATTTCCAAGAGCTTGTTTTTGTGATGCAGCCAGAAAATTCAAACTTCTATTTCTGTACTTCAATCTCATAATGGGGATTTCATATGGTATACCAACATGAACTATGCACACCATCTGTAAATTATGATAAATCTTACATCCTGCATTATATCACTTTTAATTGATCAACAAGCTTACACAATCCACTCTGTAATGGAACGTTACAGAACATGGCATCAACAAAAACAAACAAAATGAACACTTCACACAACTGTCAAACTGAGCCACATACACTTATGGTGTACAGGTTCCTGTCCAATGGGGTTTATTTCAAGGTGGAAGTAGAACCTTCCTGACTGCATCCAACAAATGCAGCTCAGCCATAAATTAAAGACTGAAGTTTTAAATTAATGGTTTAGCCTACGCATGAACTACGGATATTAATTTCCTCAGGAAGGCCATATATATGTATATATACATATNCAAATAGGTCAGGAGCAAGCTATTTAAGTGACACTGTTCTTTGAATATTAAACTACCACAAGAACTCTTAAAATTTTTACTTTACTGGACTAGTAGTCAGTTTCAATACCTTATTTTACACAATAAAATGCTTATTGAAAGACTGAATCATTTTATTACAGGGGACTGTGATCCACACAATGTTTTACTACATTTTATATGTTTACATGTGTGTATGCATATGCACACACATACATGTATGTATGTATGTATGTGTATATATACACACGCATATATATGTACATATACATTTTTGTACTAAAGTGAAGTTAATCTGTACCTCAGCTGAAATTGACTGTTTTGACTAGATTTTAACTGAGGTACTAAACCATATAATTCATCATACAGTAAACTGTCCACTGTGAAACTGTCACAAAACTTTGGCAATTTTCAAGCAGCACTTGCTGCATTATGTGCATTTAAGTTTGCACTAAAATATGCACTGGCATCTAAAACTTAAACACAACGACTGAAAACCACTACCTTTTCTTTGTAACACTCATTTTGCCAATCTGCTTAGGAGGTTGTCCTTTCTTGATCAGTTTTTCAACCTTCACAATATGTTTCTTCTTTTTTGGTCGTTCTGGCGATCCATTGCAACACTGGCATTTCTTGATATGACCACGTCTTCTTGAAGATCTTGTGGGTTTCAGATGTGTTTCACATGTTCCTCCACTGGGACACTCATTTTTACCTTCCAAACATACCTTAGAAACAAGATCTTCCCCATCTGGGGTGGGCATCATATCAATTTCTGTCATGGAAGCAGGTGTAAGCTGAAGATCAGAGGGATCTACACTTGTAGCTTCACAAGTATCTCCCCTTCCCTGCTGTTTTGAACATAATCCATGTTGCTTTTTGTAACTACTGTCAACAGACGGGGACGCAACTGTTGACTCCTTTGTTGGCACATTTACTTTGGAGAGAGAAGGGATGCCCTTAATCTTCTTATCGTGTAACAAACCACTCTGATCAAACCTGTGTTCTCTGATTCTCGCACTCTTTGCATTAGATCCTATGAAATCACTGTCTGTTCCAGTGTCAGTGAAAAATCTCTTGTCTGGCCGATTCTTTTTGCTTGAAAGTATTTTTTCTGAATTTGTTGGACTTTTCCTATCGATTGAATCCATGCCATTTGTGCTAGACAATTTCAAGGTGCCATCAATGTTCTGAGGATCTGAAACTGGAACTTTGTTGAGAACAGTACGAAGCAAAGGGAATGCTGAAGACTGAACACACGCAACTGCTGAAGATGATGATTCATCATTACTGACCTCAACCACGTCCACATCAGTATTTGCCCCATCATCCAGTTGAGAAGACATCTGAGAAGAAGGACTCATTTCATCAGAATCTTCATCATCTGCGCCAATTTTATCCTGGGAACTTGAAGAGTCCCAAGTCTCTTGGGAATCTACATGGTCATTAAAATACTGATTGGGTCGTCGTGTTCGTTTAATGACTCGGCCAACATCTTGCCGACTAGAAGGAAGCTTCTTAGCATATGTGTAAGTAAATTTCTGAGCTGCAGTAAGTGTGGGTAATGGGTTTCTTGTATCTGATGTTTCTAGAAGATGGGCAGATGGCATCAAAGATAATGCTGCAGGAACTGGAGAAGGAATGGTTACATCCAATGAGGAAGCTACCATGCTAGTGGCAAAAGAATCGAGTGTTACACTGTCTTCACTTGATGAACTAGTAACAGGTAAGTCTACTTTGGGTTCAACATTTGATTCACATGGAATGGTTAGAGTCCCTGGTAGTACCTGCTTGGGACCTTTATCCTGCATCTCTTCTAATTCACTGCCTAAGTGTGCTGATGCTGTTCTTGGTGTAACACTAATCAGGGTTTTTGCTAAAATACTTTTCTCAGGCAATGAAATCCTCTGGTCACCAGGTAATGATCTTTCATTTCTATTACATTTGCCAGATGCAGGCTCTACTGTGTGCTCACTGGATGAACCAAGGACTAGACTAGTAGCAACCCCATCACTGGCATCACATTTTGAACTTCCATTCAATGATTCTTCCACAGAAGAGCTGCACTGTGATATGTTCTTGGAGTCATTATTTAGATGACAGCTTTGACCTGGTGAATTATCTTTCATCACATTTACCACAGCACTCGACTTCTCACGTCGCAAAAGGTTAACAGGGGTGTTACATTTGCTCCGCAATTTACCTGCCGAACGATATTTCCAATCACTGTATGACTTTTTAGACCCAAAAGTCCTGGTTTCACGTCTACTCTCTGAATCATCAGTGACCTGATTATCCACACAAGGGTCTTCATGATGTGATCCTTCCTGGCTACTTGATGAATATTCATGTCTGAAGTTTGAGCCCGAGTATGGTTCTGCAGTTTCCACAGTTTGACCACAGGGAGCATCTTGTATTGTTTGTTCAAAGCTAGGTGATGAACTTGGATCGAGCAGAAGATCAGCTTCTGGGAACAGTTCACTGGTGCTGGGTTCATCCACACCCAAATCTTCACATTCTTCTGACAAGCTTTTCTGCAACCTCAGTTCCCTCTCAAGTCTAGCCATTTTCTGGTGCATTATTATACGTTCCACTTTTTCTACTCGGCGTTTTTCTTCTGCTTCACTCTCTAGCTTACGATATGTGTGAACTGTATTTGGGTGAACATGAGAGTTTGCAGCTATACCTGCTTTCCTGCCAACAGGCAGAAACTTGACATCTGACAAGAATGAGCGTCTATCTTGTGAACCATCCTCAATCTCAGAAGCACCATCCCTGTCTGCTAGATGCAAAGCACTTCCCACCTGTTCTGTGGCCATGTATGATTCATCCTTCTGTACAACTGCTGGTTGAATGGCTACCCGTACTCGCTTCACCACAGGCATGTAACGCCAAGGAGAATCTTGGCTCTCTGACGTCATCTTTGTTGATGAACGATATGCCATGTCATTGATGTACTCCAAACGATGTGATGATTTGGATGGAACATAGTATGCTCCCGCTTCTGTTCCACTCCCTGTTCTAGCTGAAAACTCATGAGTCTGTGTTGTGTTCGTTCTGCATCCTGACTTTGGCACCATCTGACTTGTGCTCTCCATACCAGAGACCTGAGAGACTGGACCACTTTCTCGTCTGCAACTGCCAGGCACATTGCTGCAGCCTTCTGCCACATTTAACACATCACTAGAGGAGCTGCTGTTGCTGCTACTGCTGCTGCTACTGCCTCCACCACTGCTGCTACTGCTGCTGCTGCTACTGCTGTCACAGTTATCAGGCATGTTCCCCTCCTTGGCTTTTTGTAGGCCATTCTCCAGTAAGTGGAGATGGGAAGACCTGGACAACACTGTACCCTCCTGACTGCTCGTCCCCATGCACATGGTAACTTCTTGTGAAGATCCTGCAGTTCCATCTTGCAGAAATAACTCCTCATTCAGAGCACCTGAAGCATTAAGAATTAGATGTCAATATCAGAAAATGAAGTGGGCTTTTTACATATCATAGTATAACAAAAATGTCAGCTTTTAAGAAAATTGATTAGAGACAGGCTTTATTCCTGCCTTGACATATTTTCTATATACAGTTACCATACTGCCACTCTTTAGTAAAAATACAACTATATTCAGTAACAAGGCACTTTTAAGAAAACCTGATACCTTATTAATATTAAACTACTGTGTCCACCTCAAGAATCAAAAAGAAATCTCAAACTATTTCTGCAGAAAGTTTTAAAGGAGACAGAGCATGGCAAATACCTTCATAACAACAACAACAACAACAACAACAATAATAATAATAATAATAATAATAATAATAATCACCACCACACCTGTATGTGTTAATGAAATACTATATTCCTTGGAATACATATCTGGTAGCACACATTCTTGGTAAGGCTGAGCATTCATTACCAATATTCAGCTGATGTTGCACAAACAACCTATGTCTGTAAAATTCAGGACTGTGTGTATATAACTGAACACAAAATACTCACAAAGTTATCTATTCCATATAAAATATTCTCCCCCTGTACAATGATACACTGTTTCCAACATATCTTAAGGTCAATGAAGTAGCTCTGGAAGCTATTTTCTGGAATGATGCACAGTTGTGTCATAGCAGTCTTTATGGCTTGAATGTCATCACAGTGATGTCCTTCCATTGCTCATTTAAGCCAATGAGGTAGAGAAAAGTCATACGGGGGCAAATCTCAAAAATATGACATGTACATGAGTTGTTCAAGAAGTTCCTGAAATTTGTCTATAAATAACATCTTTCATTACTTAGAGCTTACTGAATATTACCCCCTTCAAAATTGTCCTCTTGCACAGCAATGCACCTCTCCCACTGCCTTTTCCACTTCTGGAAGCAATGTTCAATGGATCTTTGTGGTATCGCCTTCAAGTTATTCATCGCATTAGTGATGATGTCTTCCACTGTCTGAAATCCTCTTCTTTTAAGTGTAATTTTGAGTTTAGAGAACAGAAAAATGTCAGGAGGGGAGATGTCAGGTGAATAGGAGGGTTGTGGAAGGGTAGGAATTGAATGTTTTGCCTAGAACTGTCTAACTGACAATGCTGTGTGAGAAAGTGCATTATCTTGATGGAGGAGCTTCCTGCAGTCCACATTTCAGGTCACTTTCTGCATATGGTATCCTGCAGATGTCTCAGGACCGCCAGAAAAGAATTTTCATTAGTTTTCTGACATTCAGGAGCAAATTCATAATGCACAATGTCTCAATGATCAAAAGAAACAAGCAGCATTGCATTCGCTAGAGAGCACACATGTTGTGTTTTCTTGGAGTCAGACAAAACAGGACTCTTCCAGTGTGAAGACTGTTTGGTTTCAATGTCATAACTGTAAACCCGTGCCTCCTCACCAATAATATTTGGAGGAGATTTTAACAGATGGAAAACCACTGCAGTTTCTGACAGTCAAAAGAGTCTTGGCACAAATTCTGCTAAGACCAAATGCATTCCTAAATCTTCTGTTAAAAATGTGTGGCTTGAATCAACAGATATTCCAACCTCTTCTGCAACTTCTCAGAGTCAGCCGATGATATCCATGGATAAAGGCTCAGATCTCGAAATTCACGGTCAGCCAAACTGCTTATGGTCATCTGAAGTTCCTCCATTTTTAAAATATCTTAAGCATTCACAGGTTGTTGTCTGACTCAAGGCATCATCGCCATAAGCTTCACGCAACACATAGGTATCTGCAGCTGTTTTCCTTACTGTGAAACAGAATTTAACATGAATTCTTTGCTCTGTTACTGATTCCATATTAAACGCGACAACAACACATTCGATCACAAAACCAGTTATAAAAAACTAAATGGAATGTTTGATCTACTTGGAACAAAATGGCTTGTGTAGCTAACAGTCAGGTTTCTAGGTCAAACAACTACTGTGACCAACACACTGCTGACTTGTATATAAATTTCATGAACTTTTTGAACATACTAAATACAAAAAATGTTCATTTGTTTCTGTGCCAAACAAGTGTTCAGAAGTAAGTGTTGCAGAATACTTCTGCAAATGAAGTGGTTAATCCCTCATGACGAGATCCTAGGCACTGTAAGTAAAGTAAAGATATCCCTATAACAGGCCGTGGAGGCCCATAGGATTGTGCGATGTTGAGGTTCCCACATTTTCTAGACAATCAGCTCACAGATGGTGGTAAGGTTGTCAGCCTTATGCGCCGGCTGCCCTTTACCCCCCAAGAATATTCCAACAATATTCTTGGAACTCATTTCTGTTAGAGGATGAGTCGACTGCAGGGCCATAATGCGGCTGGAAGGATTACGTAAATTGAAAAAATCCAATGAGCTTATCAGGATTCGATCCTGCAACCTTCCGGCTTGTAGCATAGTGCCTCAACCAACTACGCTACTGTGTGCACCCCCCTGGGCACTGTACCTTTACAAATAATGAAAGAACAAAAAGTCCATTTCTGATGTTTCATGGTTTTTTATTGTGTGTGTGTGATAATTGTGTGGGTGGCCCTTGCGATCTGCTTTTCTTTGCTGTCTGAGGGTCACAATACAAATACAAATTCGTAAATGTGTCACTGTTGCATGGAGAAGTTCAGCACAATTTCAGAATGATTCTCTCAGTAGTCTAGAGTCAGTTTCAGCAGTATGACTCTCACAATCACACTGTCATGGCTGATTAATGTAGCCACTGTTGTATAGGGCAGAGGGGTAGCCCAACCTGGAATCATTTGCATTCTCTATTCTTATTCATTTCACAACCTACTATACTACTAACAATAAACAAGTCTAATGTGTCTTATTCGTTATTGTTTCTACAGATAATGATTACCCTGAAAAAAAACTTTTCTGCAATTTTTATTTTGGGGGGCATAAATTTCTGATGTCTTTCACATTTTTTACATATGCAGCATTACAGTGTGTGACACCATGTGTCCAAAAAAAAGAGAAAAACAATTCAAATTTCAGGGTGATAATAAACATTTTAAAGATGAATGGTACATGGCTTTTCCTCTGTGCATGTGAAGACTGAAGTTTTCACCAAGTGCCTGTTGTGCCATGAAGTGTGAACAAGAATACTACTTGGAATACTGTCACAGTCAAGACAATTTTCCACTGAAGTTTTAAAAAGCATATGAGAAATTGCAAGCCTTAAGAAAATAGTATATATGAACAGAAATGAACCACTAGCAAAGCATGTTATCAAGTAGCCAAAATATGAAGTCCTTCAGTGATGATGGGACTGTTAAAGGCTGTAGGCTAACATTGCATAATACACGGTTTTCAAACCATCGAACAATAAACAGGTCACTGAAGCAACAGGAAGACTACAGTTATCTGCAACAACTTGTGGCAGAAGAGTGGAACATGTTCGAAGATTTTTTCAATGTCAGCTGATGAACTGCATGAAGGTGAGTAGCTCTCAACTATTCAGCAGACTTGACATAAGCTTCACAGTCAATACTCTTTCTAAGACAGTAGTTCTCAACCTCTGTGAGACCACGGCTCACTAAATTATTTTTAGGACCCAGTATAATTGATGCCATGGCCCGGCGGTTGAGAAACACTGTTCTAATATACAGCATTAAGGCAGAAATTATGAAAGGAGAGTTTTTATCAATCATACAACTGACAGGCCAAATTAAAGAAACAGGTAACTTGAAGCCAATGAAAGTATTTCTCAAAACACATGAGCTTGACTGGAAAAACTTGTCACTGTGTACAGACAGCTGTCCTTCTGTGGCTGATAGTAATGTTTTTTTTTCTGTTTGTTGAAAAATATCTTAAAAACCACATCTATTGCCACACCATTCTATTAGAGCATTAACACGAAAGTTCAATGCAGACTTCAGAGACTTAAAAAAAGTTATCAAAACAGTTAACTATTTCTGAGCTACAGAATTCAATCATCATGTCTTTCAGTAGTTTCTTAAAGAAATGAACTTCAATGACGGTGTTCTGTATTGCTGAATGGCAAATAAGGGCGAAGATTTTGATGAATTTTATGAATGTGATGACAACCTGAAGTGGATAATTTTATTTGGTGGTTGAAACTTACTTTTATGACAGATATTACTGGCACATTAATGACATTAAAATGCACCTTCAAAGAGGAAAAAAATTATTACCAAAATGGCCAGCATCGATTTTCACTTGAAAAGAAAACTGAAATGTATATAGATGAAACTAAAATCCAGAATTTTAGAGGTCTTCCAAGATTCAAGGAAATTTATTAACGAAAATATTAGGGTGATACAAAAAGCACCTGCACTTTCGCTCCAGTCTGCTGAAGGTACAAGACAGCTGGTGACTGGATTTGACTCAGCCCAAAGTTTTTTCTGATGGCATCAGACAAGCAAGATGAGATGCAAGAAAACTATGTAGAAAAGTCATACACTTGTAACCTTCCATTCTAAATTCAGTTGTGTATGTTTGTGTGTGTAGTTTGGGGGGAATGGAGAAACTTACTGAATAAACTTCATACAAAAAAAAATAATTTAAGTTTATGAATTTCCAAAGATTTCAAGATCCTTACATCTCACTGAAAATCTATGGATTATACCAATTAAAGATATTTCAGAAAACAAGCATCATTAGTCCTGAAGTTAAGTGCCTGAAAGATGAACTCATCAGCTTTCAAGATGACATGCAACTGCACTGAAGGTTCCAGCAGAAACTTAAAACAAGCACTCCCTCTGAATCTGTTAGTATTCTTCCATAGAAACAAAGCCCTTCAATATGATCTTGTGCTAAAATAAGTCTGTAACTTTTTGACTCAACATAGCTCTGCAAAGTAACTTTCAATATGATGAAGTTCGTCAAACATAAACACAGGATATGACTCGCATATAAGCATTCTGGGTAATCATCTTTGACTTGCCACTTCAAAGCAATCAGCTAACATGGGCAATATTTTTTTTTNGTTTTGGGGGGAGGGGTTAAATCAGGAA